CAGTCACTCACACTGGCTTCCACACTCCTAACAGTCACTCACACTGGAGCACACACTCGCTCATTCCTCACACTGGCTTACACACTCCTAATAGTCACTCACATGGGGAGGCATACCTAACTGACAATCAGTCTGCATCCTAGATTCCTTTCTCACACAGTCACACTGCAACAACTGGGCTCTGGCTAGGCAATTCAGAAGTTAGAAAGTAATGCTGTTTAAGATAAAACATGAAAGACGACATCTAAATTTTGAGACACTTGTTGAATTAAAAGGTACTTACTGAAATGTGAATGGTTTAGCAAAGAATATGAATGAAAGAACTATGGTCATTGCTTTTCTTCCTGTTGTCACTGTAGGGGAGAAAAGATTTAGATGTACCTTACTATCTTGGCAATATTTGTAAATTATTTATTCCACAAATATTTATAGCTCTGGATATGGCAGAACCTCTAAGGTGCCAGAGACATTGCAACTGACCAACCAACAGCCAACCAAGTTCTGTTGCTAATGGTTCCGTAGAGAACTGGCACTGATCCACTTAAAGTCTACAGACACCTGTGTAAGTATTCATCAGCTCCATGGGGTGCAGGAGCCACAACCAGAGGCTTTCCCATGATTAAGTAGAACAAGGGTTACCCTTTAACAAAGTGAGAGTTCACTACTGTCGGGCTTTTGTTTGCTTTTCAGACAGGTCTTGCCACGTCTTGCTCATCCTGCTCCAGCCTCCAGTGCCGTCACGCACCTCGTAATGGTTCACAGTATTTAGTCATGGGGACCTCCAGGAGAGGGTCAGCAATCCAACAGTGCTGCTCTTTGCACATTTGTCTTCCCACTCTGACCTCACTGTAACTCAGCCCAGGCAGAGGGCAGCCACACTTCTCCACTCAGGTCTCTACCCTCACGCGGCTTCTCTCATTCCACCCATTCTCCTGCACTTCACATTCAGCACAAGCTGGGGCCTGATCTGCAACGACTGCCTTTGGGAGACCGACTTGGTTGGGCACATGTTCCTGTCTCCCTACACTTGGAGTACAGCATCTTGAGAAAGTCCCCACTAGAGGACACTATGGCTTTCATCCTCTCAGACTCCATCCTGCTGCCCAGCACACAGGAGGATGCGATGGTAGGAGGGTGCTGAGGACCATGCAGTCTCTCACCATGCCAACCAAGGAGGCGCAGTGAAGACTGCAGGTGTGGAGACAGACAGCTTTGCCTGGAGTCTTGATTCTAGCAAGTTGTCACCCAAGCCCTTAACTTTTCCACATTCACGTTTAAATCTGAGCATGGATTAGAAAACTAACGGTGCCGGCTGGTTAGGACTGTGGTGAGACCTCTGTCCGGAGCGGTGACTAGCACACAGGAAGGACTCTGTTAGCTACGACTATGCCTATCTCTGTCTCTTACTTGACAGAGAAAATATTTCTGCCTATACCGTGGGGGTAAATGCACATTTGCAGTTCTGGAGAGCGATGCAGTACACAGTCACTGGCCCCCCTCACTACTGTGCATTTCACATCAAACACAACCTGCAGTCCTCTATAGTGTCAGGCATCACACTATATATATGATGACACATCATCACTGCGGAAGCGAGAACGTGATCTGGGGCTGGTGCTAAGAAACATCCCAGTGAAAGGCTTGCAAACTATAAAATGCACCTGCCATATTTTAAGTGCAAGAAGAGTGGAATTTCCGTAATCAATTAAAAGTATATGAAGGTAGTGTTTTCCCTGAAGGGGTTTCATTCCATCATAGTTTTACAGCAAATTTTTCTAATGTATTTAACGTTTTTCATGAAAATGTATATATTTGACATAAAAATGAAGCCTTCAGGGCTGGGGTGCAGCCGAGTGCTAGACTGCGTGCCCAGCATGCTGAGGGCCATGGGTCTGGCCTCAGCACTGCACAAAAAAAAACAAACAAACAAACAAACAAACCCAAATGCAATCTGAGAAATGAGAAATTAAGACCAAACACCATTTCCTTTGGAACTAAAGACAAAACAAGCTACCAGAGCACAAGCTGGAGAACAGTATTCCTTTTAGACACACGGTCATACCCTTGTGTTTGTAAGCGCATGAGAAACACTGTGGCATTTACTTCCTCATCTAAGCAAGTCTCCTACCTGTTACAGCAAGAAGAGCACCAAAGATTTTAATCAGGGCCAGAACGAAGGAGATCCCAAAGTATCCAGTGAGGGAAAAGAGGAAGGCGTAGCCATAGGTGCGAACAGGGTTCTGCAAGAAGAAAAATGACCTGTTAGGAAAACACAAAGCAAGCCCTGAGGTATCCTATGGTATCAAGCCACAGATCTGAATCAGCCTCTTGAGCAGTAATAAGTCATTCCACAATGCAGCCAAGCAAACAATATTTAGTTTTTATTTAATGGGAAAATATTGATGAAAGCAAAAACCCTTGATGTGTACATTATAAACTTCTCAAAAATTAACTTACAGGGTAGAGAATGGATAAAAAATTAAATATCAATCATTTCTAAGATCTTTCATTTCTGATCTGTAATGTTGCATTTGAAGAGTGACCAAATCATTTATTAACAATAGCCTTTTTTTTTGAACTAGGCAAAAATAGTACAGAGAAAATTATTAAATGGAAAGTGTTTATTTTTAAAAATGTGGTTAGTGTTTACCTTTGAACAAAATGCCACTGCAGGGCCTAGTCCACTAGTGCAGGACAATCCCAACAAAATGTACACAAAACCGATCGAGTACGAATACAGAACCTGGGGGAGGCAGAAGTAAAGCACAGAGACGACTGTCATACCAGAGAGGAACTGAAGGGTGTGAACACACGCAACAATTAATCTACTCAATCAATGCTATAAAACAAAACATTTTTAAAGCGATATTGTCATTGCCCTATGGCTGAAGTTTCTAGAAATAGCTATGAATTAATACCAAATACCAAATAATATATAAATTAATACCAAATATATATATACATACATACACACACATATATATACGCATACATATACACACACGTGCACACACACACACAATTATGTAACAAAAATCCACAGCCATATGGAACCTTCCATTTATGTTCACATTTTACTCATTTCTGGATTGTTAAATTTAAGCAGATTTTAATTTTATCATTCTATAAGCATAAATATGATGAAATCCTTAGAGCTACTTACAAGATACGAAAAATGTCCTGAACAATGGAGTTTGCAAAAGATAGGAAAATCACCACTCTTTAGCTTCCCCACTCACTTTTTACTCGTTTATTAGCTCCCCCAAGGGTACTTCCAGTTTCTAACTGAAATGCTTGCTACAGGTTAGCTATGCTACCCTGTATGTGGGCTACTCTCCTGACTCTCACAGCTAACCTAATCTTAATCCCATACTTATCACCCAGTTTTCAACTGAAGCCTGGGATTGTAATTTGACCCAAAGGAGAGCTATGGAGTAACCTAGAATACGAACCGAGGCTTCAGTTTAAAGCCTGCTGCTCTATGTTCTACATTGAGTTTCCAGGTGACCTGCACGGTCTCACTTCTGAGGCCATCCTTACCTCAGCCATGAAGAGTAGTGACACATACACCTATCAAGATTCAGGTTCCTGCTACTGAGGTGTCACTTAAGATGCCCCATACTGTGCCCAGACAGTAATGGGAAACTTATTCCTGTATGTCTTCAATGCAGTGTGCTCTATGTGAGTAACAAAGCAAGTGTGTTTGCAATGTCTGACACACACACACACACACACACACACACACACACACACACACATACACTTATAGAAAAACAAAAGCAGAAGATATTTTATCTGAAGAATACTTTTAAATCTAGTGGACATTTAAAAGAAACACCTAGAGAGATTGGAGAGAGCTCAGGAATTAAGAAGGTGGATTGCAAAGTTGGGTTCTCAGCAATCATAATGAGTTGCTCACAACTGTCTGTTAACTCCAGCTTCAGGGGAATCCTGGCCTCTGATGGTATATACACACACTCACGCATGCATACACACACACACACAAATATTATACAATTAAAAATAAAACAAAAATATTTTAAAGAGATACTTGAATAAAAGGAAAGCCATACCTTAGTCTTAGACTGAAAGAACCAAGTATACAGAAGCCATGCCCCTAAATTAACTTCTAATTCAATGCTAATGTCAGTCACAATCCCCGGAGGGGTTTCTAATTTATGTAAGGGTATGAGCACCCACGAGTAATCACTGATAGTTCTTTCGAAAAGGAACAAAGATGGTTAGTCCTAACGATGAGAAACACATGAAGCTGTTCAAGTTTCTGTGGGCTAAGGCAGAAATCAATACTAGAGAATTCAATTCTGACCCTGTGTGAGGATGTGAGATAAAGAAGTCACAAGTGGGAAGGGTGGGGTGTTCAGTAAACAGAATTGGGTTTTAGCAGGATTTATTTAATAAAAAATGGAAATAATAAAACTACTAGGCAACATGGGTGAAAATCTTGAGTTGGAAAGGCCCTTTGACACATAGCCAGAAGCCATCAATAAAGAGAGAAGTTGAACCAATAAGAACTATAAATTTCCACACTGAGGGCAACACAAAGAGAAATACAAACAGAAGGAAAACAATGTCACAAAGAGGTTTCTTTTAACAGATAAAAGATTACAGAAATCAACAAGAAAAATATTGATCAGTTACACAACAAGCTATTAGCAGTGCTGGGCTCTCTTCCAACCTTCCACAGTATTGCTAGCATTATGTTTCCGGGAAGGATACAGTGGACTGAAATGCACATCGAGTCTCTGACACTGTAGCCATCTCATACATCAGCATGCACCTTCCAGACAGGAGGGAAGCCCTGGGGTACTCACCATCTCCGAGTTGGAAGCACTGTGCAGTTTCATGGCTTTCTCCTGGACGTTCCCAATGACAGCATCTGCACACAGTGCCAGGGAGATAAGCATCACACCTTTAGGGAGAAGAGATTGATCCTCTTTAAGCATTTTAATTATAAGCAAGGTTGGCCCGAAGTTTAACTGGGCTACAAATCAAAAGCAGATTGTCAAGCCCATCTGGCTGGAATGCTGAATATTCTAATCTACAACTTATTTTGTAAGCACATAAGTGATGATATTAATATAAAAAAGACAAACACTAATAAACTAATGCTACCACCAGAATCTTACTTCAGCATCGTGTCAAATAAAGTTCACACTTTTCAGTGAATGTGCAGCTACGACTCAGGATCTGGAGAAACAATGGAACGCCCAACCCTCTTGGACTTTTACAACCCTTTAGTTCCACACTGTCTCAGAGGCACCTAGAGCAATGCCTTTCTTAGCTTGCCAGCCAAACTGCATTGGGGACTCTTCACACGAGCAAGCCTCCCTTTCATGTCCACGAGGATAATGTGAACATTAAGTTGTTACACGCTGCAGTGACAGGTTCAATGGCATCGAGTCTAGGTGATAGCACTTTCTCCTGGGAAGCAGCATGCAGGTGTGCAGAAGGACAGGCCTGGCTGCCTGAGCTTCACATACAGATGAACAGGTGTCACAGTGCCATCCTTTTTTTGTGGGGTTTGCAGGCTTTCCTGTCTAACCTTCTTGATGCTGTATTAACCCTTTAATACAGTCCTCCATGTGGTCCTCTCAACCATAAAATTACTTCATTCCTACTTTGTAACTGTAATTTTGCGCTGTTATGAATCGTATGCAAATATCCGATATGCAGCAGGATATCTGATATATGACCCCTGCGATAGGGTTGGTAGATCCTCAAAGGAGTCATGGCCCATATGCTGAGAACCACTGCTCTAAAAACCAAGTGGGGACCAATGTTCATCAGCTTCTTTTATAAATATGTCTGGGTTCTAATTGCTTCCAAATGAGCCCACAGAACTCAGGAAGAGAGGGGCACTGGCTGTCTCGTCCCTCTGCTGCCTGTGTTCTCAGTCCTTCCTCCTCAGGTGATGCCACATAACATAAGACAAAAGCAACCAACCCTTGGTGCCCTTTACCCAAGAGTGGGCCTGATTTGTTCTGGAGAGTTCTGATGTCTTCATTCAAACAAAGACCGTCTATCTTTCCTACTTATTAAAGAGCACAACGAATGGGGCACTGGAAGGGAGTGAGGAAGGTTTGTCAATCTTTTACAGGAGTTTCAGGAATGGGGAAACTGCTCTTCTGACCTGTTGATCTGGAGCAGCACACACAGCCACTACCAGATGCTTTCATTCTACACCTGCATGCTGCTTTCAATACCTTGAACTTCTAGAGAATCGTCTTAGGTCTAGCCGCATGCAATCTTAGCACACATAAGCTGTTCTGAGTCAGGGGCATGAATGGGTCACTAAGGAGAAATAGGAAACATTGTATATCTGGGACTCCAAAACATAGAATGGTTGATTTCTTAAGGGTTAATTTTAAACAGGATGAGGATAGAGTGTGTAAACTGAAAGAATACATAGCTGTCGATTATATGGGAGCATTGGTAACCTGACTACAGGTTAGGTCAAAGTCTTGTACAGGCAAGCTTCAAACAGCACGGAAAGTTGTTCCCACACCCTCTACCATCTCTCCTCCCACCAGCTCTGTATGAGGCAGTGTTCTCTCCATCTTATGGGAGAGCGTAAAGGGTCTACAATTCACTCATTCTTGGCCTTATTTTTACACCACTTAAATTCACTGCAAATCTGTGCCTTCTAAACTTTGTTTTTATAGCTAGAACAGTCGATGATGTCTGTTCTCCAGTATTCAGTGTTCTCACTTGATGTGACAATCTGTGATGGAAAAAAATGAAGATTTCCTGATAATTCTTGATCCTAACGGCAATGACGGCGACCATAAGCATTGTGTGAAGTTAAGCAGTGAGGTTTCCATGGAAGCTGAGGCAGCAAGTTCCCTCAGGACTGTGGCTGTGAGAGGGCTGCCCCCAGAGGCCCAATGGTTCTATTTCAACACACTAGCTCAGGCTGGTGAACTGGGGCCAGTAAGACTGATGGTCTGATTCTTGACAATTGTAAAGCTAATGAAACAAGTATTTTCATTATAGAAATGATTATTTTATACTTTGTGCTTGAGGTTTTCCAATGTTGCCTTTCCGTATTCTCTTATGTATTTTCTTCCTTTTGTTTTTCTTATCTAGAAAATTTAAATGCTATTTTCGTCAAGAGGAATGTTGGGATGCCACTGTGTCCTTGGTAAAATTCTTTCAGTAACTTAATGAAAATAGTGTATATATAGTAAATGCCAAGTACCCCAAAATAATTTATCTCAATGGTTCTCATCCTTTCTAATGCTGTGACCCTTTTAAATGAGCTATGTATAGCTCATATTGTGGTGACCCCAACCATAAAATTATCTTCATTGCTACTTCATAACTGTAATTTTGCTGTGTAAATCATAATGTAAATATCTGCTATGAAGGATATCTGATATGCGATCTCTGTCAAAGGGTCATTAGACCCTCCAAGGGGATCATGACTCACAGGTTGAGAACCTCTGATTCATCTGCATGGTCATGAAAATAAAAACAAGATTCTAATGCTTATTCTTCTCCCTGGACATACTCTAATACTTGTCTTTCGAAAAATCTAATTGACAACAGGCATAGCACGCAATGGAGGAAACTCTAAGCCAGAGTCACAGCTCTATACATATTACCACTGTGACTTCCCCACACCTCCTGTGTGTGTGCAGGTCAGTACACACATCCCAAGTCTCCTGGCTCTGACAGTGGACGCTTTAACCGGGAGCCTGCTGTCAGCACCACAACAGTGCCACATCTCCAGAGCACTGCTACTTTACTACAGCTGGGAAAGCCTGAAAGCCTCCTTAGGTAGGAGACTCACCAACCTCACAGCATCATTTAAAATCGTCACGAAAACGTACGAATTCTTATTCAAAATAAAATGCTTATACAATTTAGGAATACAAACATACTCCTCACCTGTCAGATTAAAGTTTGGTGCAATTGTGCTGTCAGCCAAGGTAAACCAGATCAGGCCAAGGCTCATGCACACTGCAGCAGACACATCTGCAAGGTTGTAACGTTTTCCTGTGTAAGACAAAAGGACACCGGCCTCATTACACAGATACTTACCTAGTCTACTGTCAGATCCCAGCGCCTCACCAAGCACAATAGGGCTGTGCTGTTAATGCCTAATGCCCAAACATAAAGAACACTCACATCAAAGCACAGCAATCCCAGGTGAGCTAAGACTAAATCAGGCACTCCATAATCTTGTAAGACAGAAACGAGATCTTATTTTATCTGACAGGAAAACAAAAAAACAAAACATAAAACAAAACCACACACATGCACCACTTAATGGTGAGGATATGCCCTGAAAATGCACCTGAGGGGGATCTTGTTGTCTGACATCATCAGACACATACACAGACTGAGATGGCTATGACGTCACTGGGCAACCCTATCTCATGGGATCAAATGCACACACCGTCTACTGGTGACCATAGCTTCCTTACACAGTGTGTGGCTGCAATCTGGTGAAAAGTGACAAAAGTAAAAGGCACACTCCCCAATTTTAACTATGTGGAGAAACGAGTTTGTCCTTTAGTTAATGTGCAATAACTACAAGGCTACAGATGTTCCTGTGGCTTGTCAGTTTACAGAGGGAAGAGCGTAATGGGTCTGGCTGTGCTAAACACTGTTTCAGCTGAACACTATGTGAAGACCGTTAGGCAGGGGAGAATTCACCCATCTTCCTCTGCCTAATGTATTGTAACTTTTGGTAACGATTCTAAGGAAATACATGTGCCTGGTAAGAATTTTTAAAAGAGACTGAGGTATTTTATTTCCATATGAACCACTATTCTGTTGTGTTCTGAGTGAGGTGCTGACACATTTCCATTGTAAAAGGTCAACCCCAGGAAGGTATCTTGATGCACACACTGAGAGCAGGCTGCCCGAGCCCTTCAGTGATGGGAAGAGCCTCAAGACAGGGACTAAGCAACAACTTGCTCTAATGCCTGCTGATCCAGCTGCCTCCTCTTTTCATCCAGCTCGACTCAGTTGCTCTAAACCATCAGAGCCGGTTCAGTCAGGGAAGAAGTGGGTCCACTCAGATGGGCTTCACTATGTGAATATGGCACTACGGGATGCATTAAGTTCCAAGATAAAATAATAAAATAAAATAATGGCTTTTCTCTCATGTCCAAATTATGAATTCAAATACTACAGTATGTTAGAGAAATAGCAATATTTTTGACACCCTATTTTTATCAGATGCTTTACTATCACAATGTCTAAAATACTCAAAAACAGTGTTGTGGACATTTACTGTTTTTCCTAATGCCAGATGCCACAACACAGCTGCGCGCTTCAAACAGTATAAAACATGTCATTACTGTACCTTGAATAAAAACTCCTCCTAGCATAACAGGAATCAGTTTGCAGCACTTGAAGATGACTTGGGTGGGGTAATTCAGGTAGCCCAAGGAAGTGTTTGATAAGCCCATAGTACCCACAGTTAGAAAAGCTATTATCATGTAGGTTTTTCCTGGTATTCTGGAAGAGACAATTTTTAAAACCTTCATTGTGTGACCCAGTTTCATAGTACTTTAAAGATGATGGCTTACAATGTACTTCTCTATTTCTGGTTAATGTTTCTGGAATATATATTAAAAATCATTTTTTTTCATATTGTACCACTGTTTACTTGTACACTGACAAAAATCACAACATACTTTGCTGAATCATCAATGAAGTATCTCAGCTGTGTGTATAACAGTAAGAGACTCACTTGGGATTCTAGCTGATGTATAAATGCTGATCAAAGATTTTCTTATAGTAGCTCTAGGTATAGACAACAACTATCCTGATTTAATTCATAAATGAGAGATGATGAAAAAAATGTGGGCCTCTACAACGGTAAAAAGGCCCCAATCACTAATGTTGTGATTTAACTTTTAAATTGTTTTTGTTTCCAAACTTTCCATCCAGAATTAGGAAAACTGTAACCACCAAAACAGTAGAAGAACTTTTCTAGAAAAAGCTCATGGGCTTCACAACTCCAGCCATGATTATTACTATAGTGTTCTCTATTTTCCATGTTACAATAATCAGCTTCAGGTAATGCTTCTGATGCTGTCCTTGGAACCTCTAAGCTTTTAATTCTGGCTCTACCAGGGTTGCCTGAAGGAGACTCTGAATTTGGTATCTTTAGAAAGTCATCAGTATGGGCATATATCTGAGGAGTCAATAATGGTTTAAAATAATAATGTGACATACCGTATGATGGACACAAAAAAGCATTAGTCATGTAATTTGATTATGCTGTAAACTTAGATATAACCTACCTACATTTAAGCATTTGTATTGGCATTTTTCCAATTCTCTCTCTCTCTCTCTCTCTCTCTCTCTCTCTCTCTCTCTCTCTCTCTCTCTCTTTTGACAGGATCTTTAGCCCAGGCTGGCCTCAAATGCTGTATGTAACTGAGGGACACCTTGAGCTTCTTTCTGATCTATTACCTGAGTGCTGGGATGACAAGCATGTGCCACCAAGCCTGGTATATGTGGTACTGGTGACTGAACCCATTGCCTTAGGAATGCTAGGTAAAGACTCTACCAACTGAGCTACATCTCCAACTCTCTACATCTTTTATATGAGTAGACATACACTAATTTGTTGAAAAAATTCTATTGAAATGCATTATTTGACCTTTCAGTGTTGAGGTTTTTTGCTACTTAAGTTCTAATGTAGGAGCGAACACTTAAAATCCACTGTTAAGAATGGGCCTGCCCATAGGGTGTCCTTCAATTACTACCTCTGTATTTCCTCAGTTTCCCTGGAGTCTGAGCAGCCACTGTCCTTGTCTGCAAAGGAGGAAACACTACTTTCCCAGCTTAGTATAAAAACCAGTCATCATATTTCCTCAAAGATAACTGTAAACAACAGTGGCCAGAAAGGAAAAATTCCATTCATTAATCTTCTGAGGAATGGTTACAAAAGCAGGATACAGGCAGACAGGAGCCATCCTGAGGCTCAGGGCTGCAGCGGGCCAACCCCCAGAGGAACTTCCTACATGACCTTATAAAAATGTCAGCCTCTTTCAGGTCCTGTTTCCTCATTGGTGATGAGGAAGTTGCATCTCATCAGCCTACCCCCTGGATTCCTGGTGTTTCTACTTAATTCTTCAATAACTTCTTCACTAATGGCGGGGGAAAAAAAATCCTTCACTGCAAAATCATATTTCCTGTATCCCAAAGTCAGACAATGGCTAAAAATCTATTTGGTGAGGGATGATAGCACCATGTTCCGAGCATGAGAGCTATGACGTTACTCCAGAAGCACACTCCCAAGCAAGCCGGGAGTTCAGAGACTCCCCAAGTCTTGACAGAGTCTGAGAAAAGCAATGCCTGTTTAAACCCAGGATCTTTAAACTCTACGCCCTGTGCTTGTACTGACACATCATCATTATGCAGACCCAGGCAGAGAAATCAACGAAGCTGAGTACAGGTCAAAGGCTGAAAGAAGTAACAACTGTCATGGGAATTCAGAAATCACATACATTAAAGACAAGGAGCCCTGCGGCTGGATGAAGCTCTAAACATTGTGCCTCGTACAGAAATGGTTTCAGTTCACAACTACTGATTTTAAGTCTAGAGACTCATCTTTCAGAATCTTTCTATGTTTAAATCAAAAGCAAGTTATCTTACTTTCAAATATTTTCAGGTGACATGGCTAGAAAGCTGAGGTCGCCGAGCCCACACCACACCTCATCCGGCTGGCTCACACAGGGAGATACTTCCTCCTCAAACTCTACTTCAGGAGCTGTGCCCTCAAGTCCACCCTGAAGCCGCGGTTTCCAAGAGATAATGGATCATCAGCCCCTCACTATTAGTCTTGGCAATGATAGTTACTTACTTTCTAGTCCATCACCCACATTTTATCTTGGAGTTTTAGAGCACGAAAAAACAATAAAGATGATATTCGCACACTTGAGTACTTAACTATAATGGCTGCAAAAATTTACGAGCAACAGAATTTGGGAAATAAAATTAAATTTATAAAGAAATTTGTTAGAGTCTTCCAGTAAAAATCTTGTGTAAATGGATCTGAATATTTAAAACTTAATAGTTACCTATGTATTGCTCCAAAACAATAATGTAGAAAAATAACAAGCTATGATTGTTGAGGCATTAAACATTTCTATAAAAGATGGAATGTCAGGATTGTCTTTATTATCTTTTAACTGTCCCACAGATACATGAATATATGCATCTTAGATGCAATGAAAGCATGAACATGCTTCATTTACCTCCAAATTTCATGCTCACATTCCTAACTACCTTCTGTTTATGGTCACAGTATTACTGTATTTTGTTTTATATGCCGTTAAAGATAAACCAAAGCATTTTTTCAAATCTACATGGTTACTAATTTAAAAGATTTTCAAATAAGCATTCTGGATTTAACAGAACGAAAGATGTTCCTCCAGTATTTAGGAACACAGATTTCTAAACCAAGACAAGAATGTGGAAAATGGACTTGTAGGGAGTAGGGAAGCTCACAGGCTGAGAAAGAGATTTGGGCAGGTTGGTCAGAGTATGTATACATGTAAGAAATTGCCAAAGAACAAATTCCCTCAATTAAAAGAACAGAAACCTTGGATTTTCAGGTAAGGCAGCAGCCTCAGCGTGACTTGGTGAAGAAACAGCCATATAAAAAGGATTCTATTTCCAGGCAATGGATACACCAATAGAAATGGAGCTAAGTCAAACTGCTTGGTTGTTGTCTGATGAGGGTAGGGGTGGGGCAGAGGCCTCATCCAAAGGAAAGTCAGCGCTGAGGAAGACACAGGCAGCTCCACCCTGGGGACAAGGCCAGAAAGAGTCTCCACTTCAGTGGTAGGTTTTGGGAAGACTGATGTCTCAGGCAGATCGGTCAGTGCTGGAGAGAAATCCTAATGAGGGCAGTGGCTGGGAACTGACTGTTTAAAACTTAGCTACCTCAGCAAAGGCAAGAAAAGCAATTAGCCTTGGATGAATACCTGGCACAAAGGAGATCTGTGTGTGCAGGGTTCCTCCTACATGCCTGTTCATAAGCTTGGGTAATTTCTTTGTAATTTATATTTTAACTGATACATGAAAACATTAAAAAGCATGCATATTAGTGGAGCCCCCCCCCAAAAAAAATAAAACTTAGCTACCTGGGGTGGCCTAAAACAAGGGAACAACGGCACACCAGAGAGCCTGCTGGAGGACCTGAGAACTCTGAAGGCCCAGGAGGCTGCTTGGCAGCTACAGTGGCATCCCTCCACAAGGGCGAGGAACAGTCAAGCGGGTTTCGCAGCACAGAAGAAGGAGCTTTGTCTGTACAGGTCTGTACAGAGTGTGCCACACTTCTAGCACACCTGCTAGCCCCCTCCAAGCAGAATTCTAGTGACACCAGGGGACAGATACTATCTAAAGAGTCATAGGAGGTGAAGGTCTGCCCAGTCCACAATTGCAGAGATTCTGCTGTTCAATTGTTCACTTTATTACTATATGCTGACCTTCTTTACTACTTACATCTTAATTGGAGTTCAAGTTATCAGCTACCAAAAAACTACAATAGCTTGTGTTCAGTTTCCATTTGCTTGGTAGGTTCACTTCTATTCTTTGATTCTCAGACTAATAAAGGGAACAATTGAACAGCAGTTATAACTACTGTAAATAAATAGGTACCAAACACTGTAGCTCATGATTTCATATGGATATTAACAGACATAAAAAGTCACTAAAGATTGAGTACAACAGGGAGATTTTATAGTCAATTCTCACCTTTAGACAGGTCATTCAAACTAAAAATCTACAAGGAAACTTTAAACTATAACACTGGTTAATGGATTTAACAGATACAGTAGCTTCATATCAGTGAAAAAGGGCTGGCTCAATATACACAAATTAATGTAATACACCACATAAATAAGCTGACAGACAGAAATCACAAGATCAACTCAATAGAATGTAGAAAATATCACAGACAAAATTCAATACCCCTTCATGACTAAAACTCGTAAGAAACTAGCAACAGAAGACATCCACATCAAGAAATTCAAGTCTCTAGATGGCAAACCTATGGTCAACGCTATACTCAAAGTGCTCAAAATCCAGATGTCCTCCGACTACGCACGTAGGCTGTGCGCTCAAGTTTTCTCTTCCTTCCTCCACTATTTCACATGCATAATACAATTTGAAAAAGCAAAAGAGCATACTTGTTAAAGCATAAAGAGAAAGAAATAAAAGGCATACAAATAGGAAAGAAAAAAGTCAAATCATCCACATTTGTATACAGTGTGATCCTATATTTAAAGAACAATATTTATCTGACATTTAAAGAACTCTAACTAAAGATTCTTCTGATTAATCTTATATACCAAAATCAAGTTTGCTAAGGAAGAAATGAAGAAAATCTTACTTATAACTATTTAAAACAAAACCACACAACTAACCAAGGAATAAACTTAACCAAGAGTTCATGAAAGACTGCTCTAATGATACTTACAGACAATAAAGAAAGAAACTGAAGACATTGGATTGGCAGAATTAACATTGTGACAGCAGCTGTATTAGCAAAAAAGTGATCTACAGATTCAACACATAAGCACTAAGGACCTCAAAGCACTCCTAATAGAAAGTACAATGCTGAGGGTATCACAGTGAATTGCACTGTAGAGCCATATTGATAAAAAGTATGACAGTGGACCCCAACAGATATAGACCAACAGACTAGAAGACCGAGAGGGAAACTCGTACAGGCATGAAAACACACAACGGGAAAAGACAGCCCCTTTCAACAAAGGGGCTGGGAAACTGGACATTCATATAGAACCAGATCCGTATCTCACCTTGCAAAAAAAATGAATTAAAAATAGATCAAAGACCTTAATATAGGACGTAATGCTCTCAAACTATTAGGGGGAAAGCACTTCAAGCTACAGGTATGGGCAGTGACATCATGAAAGGTGCTCCAGAAAGGTGGGGAACAGGCACATTGATCACATAAAGTTAAAACCTGCTCAGCAAAGAAAACACCAGAGAGAGGACACGGCATACAGAATGGGGCAAAAAAAGTTTGTGCTAAGTATACACAAGTCAGGGGATTAAATTTAGAATATATTATCCCTCCCAAATAAACACTATTAACACAAATCATGCAGTAAGAAATAGGCTAAGAAATCAAATACAGACTTCTCAAGAGTAAATGTGAATGGTCAGGAGATATTTGGAAGCATGGGCAGCATCCTTAGCCATCAAGTAAACACAAATTCAACTTGCTTTGAGATTCCACTTCAATCCAGTCAGAAAGGTTATCATAAAGAAAACATATGGCAATTTGGAGGGGAGGAGGAGAAAGAGGAATGTTTACACCCTGCTGGTGGGAATAAAAACTGGCACCACCACTATGGAAAACAGTTATGGCCCAGCTATGGCCCTCCTCATCTACTGAAAGGATGACAGGCCACACAAGCACTGGTACATCCACGTCTACTGCTCTACTATTCTCAATAGCTAGCCCAGACATCTAACAATCTAGGAATAGCTGAAGAAAACAAGGTGTGAAGAATGGAGCTTCACACTTAGAAAGGGGACAATGGAGAAGAGGAGAGGGGAGGAGATAAACAGGGCAGTCAAACCCCTGTGACATGAGAGCAGGTAAGGGAAGGGGGCAGCAAGAGTGGGGCAGGTATGACACGGGGCGCAGTGTGGGAGGAGATGAACTAGAACACATATCTAGAATGCCATAATGAAACCCTTACTATTAACTCATTTAAAAAGAACCCAGATTTCGACCACTAGACACTCAGTGACAATGTCAGGGGATAGAGCCCACAAAACACTAACACTGTAAAAACTATTAGACGCTTGACACTGGACTTTTGCTTATCACTGTGATGGAAGCGCATTTTAAATCTTTCACTGGGCATGCCTTGGTCATGTCATGAAAGTTGCATCTGAGCTCTCTGAAGGAGTGTGTCTAATCATGAACGGACCCATGTTCAGCTTGATTTTGTGACGCTGCAGTTAAAAGGGGGGATCTACTTTGTTCCAGTGCATAAATGAATAGATGCATTATTTTAAGCAATATTTTATATTGATTAAAACTCATGATCAGATGTTAGCAGGAAATGTAGAATCATACACAGTTGGCATGCTGGCCTTGTTTTTTTTTTTTTCTTTCAGATTCAACCGATGCAGGTAAGCGCAGCACATACCTTCTCCTTTTGTCCTGAATGAGCTGAAGTTCTATGAGGCCAAATATGGAGTAAAATGCAAACTGCACTAAAGTAAGGTACCAGCCATAGGGCTTAAAGCCTTCCATTGAAAATATCAACTCCTGGAAGAAGACAATGAACGTTGTTAAATTCAAGGCAGACACTAACTTTCAGTCAACTGTTCTGAGTATATTTTAAAAGCAAGCAAGCCATACTCCATCCAATTCCACCTACTTCCACCAAATCACTAGACTTTATATGACTTAGGCATGAAAATTAACAGAGAAGTAACTAAAATGCAATGTCTTCTTATGCTTCTTCATTAGAGACATAAAAAAGACCAAAACTAAAGTTGTCCTTAACAAAGTAGGTGGCTAATTCAAGAATTCACACAAACAGCTGATTTCAGTATAGGCCAGGCATCTACAAGCTGGTTTTCATCAGGAATATGGGTCATATTATAGCATTTTCAAAATTATGTGTCACAGACTAGATGAAAATCTTCCTTGTATAGGAGATGTTTAATTTCTCTAAACAGTGTGCATTTGTTTCTTTCTCTTTTCTTTCTTTTCTGCCTCCCTCTGTCCCTCCCTACCTTCTTTTTTTGAGACAGTGTCTCATGTAATCCAGGCTAATTCTACTCAGCCTACAGTGGCACTGAACTTCTGATCTTCCTGTTTCTGTGTCCACAACACTAAGATTCTAAGCATGTGTCACCATGTGTCATCCTGTTTATGCTGAGAAATGAACCTAGGTCTTAGCGGCTGCTAGGCAAACACTACCAAAAGGGCTAAATTCCCAGCTCCTAAATACAATATTATACTATGAAGTAACATGTTCATTAATTACTACTCAGCCATTTTAACACGTCAACAAGAGTACTTACAAATGTAACCTAGTTTACTTTTAATTAAATGATCTGAACTTTCCATCCTGTAAGAGTAATGGGGATGTATAAAATAGCTCCTAGCCACTTTTTACTAACTACTTTGATAAACAATTACAAAGATTTAGAAATCATGTAAGTATTCACAAAGCCAAAGCAGCAAAGCTACAATTTGAAGGGTTTGTGCAACTAAAAACTTTGCATATTTTGTTTTGGATAGAAGTCTGTTAATTATTCAAACAGAAAAAACACAGCTAGTAACACTTACAGACTACGTACCAAGACAGTAAAGTCCTAAGTGAAAGTGTATTGCATTGATGGACATGGCCATGTCAAAGACTCCAATGCCTCAATAGCATAGGTGTGCCAAAGCCTTCCTCAGGGGATGACTCAGGGGCATGGTAAAGCCTTCTTTTCCTCCAAGTATGAAAGTTGACAGTGTATGGAGAAAATGTTCACCCTGGCTCTCTCCCCACCCCCAATATGGTCATAGCCTGAAGACTACTTCACTACAGAGACTGCTTCTAACAAGACTAGTAGACCCTGCCTCCCTGTTCGCTATATTTTAAAGTTACCCTCCTTGTCCAAATTGTATACCCTCACCTCCCTGTTTAATTGTGTATAATAAATATGCTAAACTTCTGGGGTGCTGTGGCTTCTTCATCTGAGAGCCCAGTCCATCCGAACCCAGCTTTCTGTGCCCACGTTTGTCATGTCTTCATTCCCTCACTATCTCAGTCAGGAAGTCCCCTTAGCCTTGCAAAGCATTGTAAATAAGCATTGCATTATTTTCCTTTGCAATAGCTACTTGTGCCCCCAAGATATTTGTATCAGAGGCATTTTGAATGAAAATTCGTCTTAACAAGAAAAATTCAAATGCCTATTCCTAACTGCTGTGTGATGTTGTATTTTGTTTTATCATCTTCTAGCTGGGACTCAAGTTACAAATCATACTCTATAGTATTTTTACATAATGTTCTTTATGACATTCTTGTAGTATAGTTTAAAAAGTCAAAATTTAATTGTATGTATCTATATAATGCATTTCTATAAGATAAATGGACTATAATGTTTTATAAGAATTTCATGCATGAGTAAGGCCACTCAAATGTGGTGCTAATGAACACCAACAGTTTATGTTCCCTCTTGGATTACTGAGGTTCTCAGATATGATGTAGTTGAATTAAAAACTAAGTTGCTAATCATTAAAAATATGTACCAAGTCAATGCACATTAATAACACTGGGAGCCATTCAAACACACATATTCACAATGGACTGAACCTTCGCCCATTCAACCATGGCTCTGAAGATTAGGAATTTTCTAGTGGCCAAAAGTATAAAATCACCTCAGGCTACAGAGCAAATACAGGACAGGCTATTGCAATGTTAGATACAGTAAAACAAAATTCATAGAAAAGTAAGATTACCGCAAAAATGGATAAAATGAGAAACAAAACAAGAATGAGAATATCATAGGCACCAGAAAAGGAGGGCAGGATTAAAACGCTGTATTTAAATGAAATAGAAGAGCCTTCTAGCAGAGGGGGAAAGACAGAAAACTTTTTTTTTTGTTGGCCAGACTTAGTTTGTAAAATGGTCTTCTATGCTAGGTGTGGTGGAGAGTGTCAACACTCCTAAGATGGAGGGAGGAGGCAGGACTTTGAATATAAGGTTGGTCTGGGTCACAAATAAAGACCCATTCAAAACACAAGAAAACAAAAATAACCTTTTCCCAATGAAATCCAAGAATCAGGAATAAACTGTGTTATTTTCAACTTTATTGCAAAATGATCTTCCTAGACATCAACCAATGCTCAACTCAATCTCTTTAACAGTCAGCAGGGGTATACGTGTGACTACACGGCTCGGAGTGAAAAGCACTTGCGTCCACTTTCTAACATCTACACAACAGCTCACAAACTCCGTTAGTTCCAGTTCTGGGGGATCCAATGCCTTCCTCTTACTTCGTTGGGCAACAGGCACACATGTGGTACACTTACATATATGCAAGCAAAATACTCATACACATAAAAATAAATAAGTCTTCAAAGATATGAACATACAGCTGCAAACACCTACTTTTGATTAAATATTTACAAGTTTACTTTCATAACTTTAATTTTGCAAGATAGTCTTTCTTTCCACCTTAAAATATTTAACTTGGAGAGTCTGATTTTTACTCTTAGTAGTCCTTTTAAGAGGCTATTGTTCTATAAAAATCTCCAGCTCTGAGAAAACTGGTAGTCTGTAAATAAAAATATCATGGTAAAACAAGTAGTCAAAACCAACATGGACATTAAGTGCTAAAATAACTAACACTATTATAAACAAAGAACTACTTTTTACCTGTAAGTATCCATAAATTAGGTAAAATATAAAAACTCCAGCAACACATATGAAAAACTGTGTGAGCTTGTTAAACTTGCTGAGGTTCATGCCCAGCACCACAATGTCATCAACTGACTTGATGTGTGGTGACATTGTCTGGGTTTTGGAGGGCACAGTGATCGAGACATACTTCCTGGAGTTGTTGAACTTGAGGTCCATTGTTCTTGCTTTGCCACATTCAAGGTCTGCGACCTTGTCTTTGCTGGTTTCCAATGCTAGGTCCAGTCTTTCCTTTTCTGGCTGGGCCTAGGGGAGGGAATAAGCAGTTATGGTAAATCACACAACCAGTGAAGCTGTATCAGACTCAAATAATCCAATGTACACACTATACGATTTACAGACACAGCTAAGTCACTCTGGGTATCAGTGTTACCTTCCACACCCCAAACAAGCAAGTACAAGACCCTCCTTCCCCAACCCTATCAAACACCGGATAGCATCAAATTCATCTCCATAGCAGGCAAAACTAGGACTACATATGGTAGCATGATTTTTATCACCTAGTACATATCTAATCTAATGAAATAAAATGTAAAATATTTTCAAATTATAGACAACCTTGTAGTAGAATAAAGAAAAAGCGATGCTTAAGGGTTGACAACCATACAATCTATTTGCTAGGTAAGCTTTGAAACTAAAGCCAAACAAGTGTAAGATTTAGCAACAGCATTCCTTAAATTGAAAGAAAAACCTGTCTGTTGCCCAGGCTGGCTAGAAGGGAGAAGTCTTAGTGGCTTGAACACTATGGTTACAAAGCATGGGCTACTAACCATGACTGAGAAGGCTTTCTTTCCCTGTGGAGAAAATGGTTCAAATTTAAAGTTGTTGGAAAAAGGCAGAAAAATGTGGGGTCTGTTTGTGTGTGTGTGTGTGTGTGTGTGTTTTGGCAGTGAAAAAATTGTGAGGGCACCACTGACGACTGCCAGGTTTTTCTCTGCACTTACAAAACCCAAATCTAATGAACTCCATGTAAGCAGTAAGGGAAGTGCAGAAATCATGACAGTACATAGGATGGAAAGACTGTCTTCCTGTACAACTTCACGGCTGGCGCTCCACCAAGAGAAAATCTGGACTCCAAGGGCAGGAGAGGACAATTTTGATGGGGACTTCACTTAAAAATTACCATAAAAGAAACTGTCGTGCGAGCGTTGGAAATGGCAAGAGCTAGAGTCCACTCTCAGCGACTGCTTCTAACTAGCTGAGCTGCACACATTAAAAAGAGAGCTCGTTAACACCAAGGACACTTGCCCTTTATGTCTACACTTTCATAAGTACTTTTATTGTTTGTGTTTCTTTTTCCTCATGCTTTTCTTCCTCATTCTGGCTTCCCTTGCTGTGTTGCAATCATCTTATCTCCCTCCATAAGATTGTTTTATGCCATGCTGTAGAACATCCTTGACATAGAGTTTTTATAGTAAGTATGTTTTAAATTGTGCTTCTCCAACTGTGCTGTGTTTCAGTACTGAGGAAACAATGTTCTGGCCTATATTCGATGGCAGGCACAACAACAGCGCACAGGGCACCTTTTAAATAAACAAAGGTTCTGAGCTTCTCTTCCCTGATTTCTTTCAATAAAAGGCCTAACCATTCAGCCACTCCCGAAAACAGAAAACTTCCAAATGCTATGGTGTCCTTTCTGCTTGAGTTTTTTTCTTTAGGTCATATTTGGGCTCAGGGTTGGTGGTCCCCTTCTTTGTGACAGCTTTGCATCTTGGTATCTGTCATGGACATTTTTTTATCTATACCAGAAAAAAAATAAATTAGCATGCCTAGTAGACATGCCTCAAACTCCAGCTCACATCTATCTCACTTGGATACACTTTTGAAAGGACCATGGTGTTGGCAAACTTGCTCAGCAAAACTGAAAGTCTACAGCAGACAGAACTGGGCGGCGAGTGCAGACGATGTTATACTTAGGCACACAAACCCACACACAGAATGAGTCTTACAAAATCAATTTCCTCCTCGTACTGACAACAGAATATGTCTCCAGAAGGCAACTCTTTCCCGACATTGCCTTCTTCTGAAAATGCTTATAGTTAAATGCCAAGCACACAGCACCAATTTAAAGCAGTCCCATGGTTTGTAACTTAGGGGTCTGAACTATAATGCTACCTGAGGAGTCTAGGGCAAAGCAGCCTCTCTGAGCTTCCTATATTAATAGCTGATATTGTTATCTAAAGAATCAGAGCCACAGAGCTAGGGCTGGAGAGGTGGCTCCATGGTTAAAAATGTTTATTGTTCTTGCAGAGGGTTCCTAGCACCCATGTTAGGAGGCTTGCAATTGCCTTTAACTCTGCCTCCAGGAGGGAGTCAGACCTCTCTTATGTGTATGTGTGTGTGTGTGTGTGTGTGTGTGTGTGTGTGTGTATATATATATATATATATATATCCATTCATGCACACACACACACAAACCTAAAAAGAACATGGGACAAACTCCTTATGTTGCAGGGTAAAAGACTAAATTACATAAGGAATCTGACATCAGCCTGTCTCAAAAAAAAAAGAGGATTAAAAGTAATCAAACAATTAATACCTTGCTTTGCTTTAGAAATTCGAAATAACCTCTGACACTAAAACTGGAAGAAATTATTAAAATGGATTTCTGCCTCAAGTCTCTTCTCAAACCCAACAAACACTTAACTTTAGCACATGAAGGTAGAATTAACAGCAAAAATGGAATTAAAGAAAGGCTTTCCAGTTATTGAAAAAACACCAGAAATAGGTGATGTTGACTAATAAGGACATACTAAAATAAAAATTATCTGAGATTATTTCTTTAAAAACAATCTGTGCGTATATGCCACAGATCACAGGTGGGGTCAGAGGGCAACTTGGGGGAAATCGGTTATCTCCATTCACTTTGTGGGTTCTGGGGACCAGGCTTGGTGGCAAGTGCACTTCTGTGTTGAGCCATCTCAATGGCCTCGGCTTAGCTCTTAATCTAGTTCTTTTTCTAACATGAAATAAATAGAAACGCTTTCTATTACAGAAAGGTGGCATGTGACGGAAACCTATCGTGTACATAGCCTGGAACTTGTCACACTCAAGTGACATGCTTGTCTTCATGCCTCGGGTGCGCTCTGCATGAATGACAGTTTGAGGAATAAGATCACAGAGGAGAAAACAAGACTGATTTCATATATACCGCATCACAAAATGTGTGAGAGAATGGTGATTTCTGAAACTCCCCCCTCAGGGACTAAAATTAGGATCTAGTCTATACACTGAGCACAAGTAATGCTATCTAAAATATTTTCAAATGCTAGCAGTGTTTTTTTTCCCCCAAGTTTCAAACTATTGCAATTCACTTATAAGAAAAACATTAACTAAAAGATCCGGATTCTGATATTCTACTGTAGAAGAAATGCAGACGTACTCTTTAAAAACATAGAAAAAACCAAACAAGTCTTGTTAGTATAACAACAAAAATTCCCAGTGTTCTTTCTTTCTTTTCGCTTTAAGAAGAGAAGTCAGCTGCAAAGCCGGAAAGAACACTTAGGGCTTTCAGCGACATAAACTTAATAGCTCTGCAAGAACAGTTCCTTCGTGGCAAGACAAACAGGCGCGGGGTACCGGAGGACCAGACACAGACCCGGAAGTAGCTCTGAACAGCAAAAACAGTCTAGGGAATCCGAGAGACCGCCCAAACCCAGACAGCAGGCTAGGGAAGTCCGGGCGGCGGTCTCACGCCAGGACGGGAGGATGCTCTTCCCGGAAGCGCTCGCCCCCACTACCCCCAACAGGTCCGCGCCCCGGCCACCCCGACGGCGGCGTCCACTTTCTTGGCCGACGCGGCGTGGGCGCCCACCCCAGTCCTGCCTGACGACACCTGGCGAGACCCCCCTCCCAGCTCCGCCGCTGTCACCTCCTTCTCCGCCTCCGGTCCTGCTCCCGGGCCGGCCACCGAGGCCGCCACCTTCCCGGAAGGTCTTCACACTGCCAGACACCAGCGTACCACTTCCGCCTAGGCGTCTTTGTGCGCATGCGTAGGGGCGCGGCCCCGCCCCTTTGCCAGCCCTCTTGGCCCCTACCCCGCGCGCATGCTCGTTTCTCTGAGGCTGGGCCAAGATCTTGATTCTGCCTGGCTTGTCCACGACCCAGTTGACGGTGAGCTGATGCGTGTCAAGGAGGACATATTCAGAATGTTCGAACCGGAAACAGCCTGTTCCTTCTCCCCAGCCTTTGATCCAAAGAAACGAGGTTGCTTCTCAACGCCTTCTCTGTTTCAGTCTGCTCTTCTGGCCAAGATGAACAGAAGAAACGCTTAGGGAACCCAGCGTCTCATGCTTTTTCAGTGCCCATGGTTTGTAATTAGCCAGAAATTGTATAGTTAGCAGGATTGTATAGAAGAGGCCACTCACTGCCTGCAACGTAAATCCCTACTTTGAGGTCTGACAGTTATCATCAATTACCCCTCACTGAGAGCTACACCCATAGTTACTGAGATATAAAGAAAATACCCAAATGGGTTCGGTGACAAGGGTTACTATGATTCCCATAACCGAGATAGTATTTGAGAGCCTGCTGTGCATAGGGAAAAGGGGTGAAGAGTGTCAACAGAAACGTTATAACCCAGTTATGAATAAGTTTTAAAATATCACCAGAATTGTGCAGAGAGAAGCATTTGTGCCTTGGTTGTGTTGGAGGTGGGAGGAAGTTGGGAGGTCCAGTTAGACATTTTTAAAATGCCAGTCTTGTTAGGCCAGGGTTACACAAATGTTGAAACTTTCAAAAAAATTTCCTAAAGAGAGTTACAAAGCCCATTCAGGGATGCCATTCTGTCACTCAATAGCGAATAGTAGTAGTAAATCCCTATTGCTGGTAGCTACTGAAGCAACACATTTATCAAGCATGTGTTGAATGGGCATATGAGTAGGTTATATGCATAATTTATAAGTAGAACTCGCCCATCCTCGAGGAGTTAACGGCACAGATGAAAAGGTAAATAATTGGTAATATAAACCTAGAATACAAGAGGTGTCAAGAACCACCCACTTTGCCTGGGCAATCACAGTAGCCTAGTGGGGTTTCTACTTTCTTTCTATTTCTTTACAGCCCAGTTCTGCTCAGCAGTGGGAGTTAGCCATTTAGGATCCTATGCGGTTGCACTCAAAACCCTTTAATGACTTACCATCTCATTGAAACCTAACACGCTTCCCGTGGCTTGCAACTTGCTCTTGACGGGTCATATCCAGACACCATTTCAGAGTTCGTCTAGCCCCTGTCAAGCACAACACGCCTCATGCTTCGCCTTTCCTGTTCCTTTTGCATGGCACACTGCCCTCAGATATGTCCACTGGGAATGAAAAGGAAGCATTGCCAGATGTCACCGTGGCATTAGTGACGATGCTAGTGATAGGATTGCAGGTGACAGCCTCACTGTTCACCGATAGAAGCAAGGTGAATGCAGTTATCAGCAGCCACAAAACTAGAGCAGAAACCCTCTTACCACTGCCTGTGGACTCATGAAAAATGCATGTCCTTACTGGGAAGACAGATGTGCAGGCTCAGCATGGTGATTGCTTCGATTAACCACAAAACAAACAGAAGAACCAAGGAACTACTTTCCTCCAAAATCACTTCATGCTCAAACTCTTCCCTTGAGGGAGAAGCAGGTCCCTTGACTCTTGACGAAGAACACCTGTAATGCCAATACGTCTGTATGTGTTCAACTCCCAAGGCACTTGGAGTTATTTGCACAAGGACTTATTCTGTGGAAAGCAAATTACCAAGTCATGAAGGGCCATTTGACATAGATGAGTTGGCACTGATGTTGAAGACTCAAAGTGGGGGGCCAAGTGGCGAAAGGCATTCTGGCCATAGTCTCGTCTCACAAGATGTCTGTGAGGTCTGTGGAATCCTTCAGGGCAAGAGTGATAGTCATCCATTTAGCAACGGAATCTCTGACCTTTGATGACTGATGATGATAGGAAGGGGTATGTGGGAACTCTTGAAATTATATACTTCTTAGGATCCAAGGTAGGAAATCAGATACTAATTTCACCTACAGGGAATCTGAGAGATTTCATTACTAGCCAGACTTGAAAAATGTACAGAAGGTGTTCTCTCCTTCATGGCGAGGCTCTGAAGTCAGTTGGTAGTTTTACTTAGGAATTTCAGAGGTCGTGTTACTAACAAAGACTTTAAAAATATAGGGATGTTGACATGTATTGTTCTTAAAGCTACGATGTGCATTTGGTGCGCTCTAGTAAACTTCTCCAAGCAATACCTCCAAGAACAGCTGCTGTGGAAAATGTGAGGTTTTACTAGAATGCAAATTTTTATGTAGTTATTGAGCTGGCAGATGCCCCATCAGTAAAGTAGAAAAAGATCAGTTGACTCCTTCATGAAAATAACTGGAGTGCCATGCATCGACTGTCTCTAGGCTGGTGAAAACTGTCCTGCTTCTAGCTATGATTCAATCCTGCAGGAACTGTGACTGACATAAAGGGTTGCAGACTACCTTCTTGTTCTTCTCTAGTCTTGACATGCTAATTGGATCTGGAGCTATGTGTCTGAGGAAGACATATATGTGAAGTAGGGTGGGAGGCAAAACCTGTTTGGCATCTGCCAGTGTTGTGGAAATCTGATTTGGAGAGCATTTGTGACATATTCTTACTTTTTTTTTCTCAGCCAATAGTTTGGGACAGAACTGTGTGGGCAGCAGAGGTAGATAACAAAGGGACCAACGAAAAGAAGAATGCATTTCAGAGCTCATCAGAGAGGTTTTTAACCCTTCGAAGTAGGTGTAATTTCATCAGGACTGGAGTTTCAAAGAATGGACTTCCTGTAAAGATCAATAGTTTGCCTTAAAGTAATTGATACCAGATACATTCTCTGCCTGCACTTCAGCCTTACAAATACAGTTTCCTGACAGATTGCCACTGACTACAGAAAACACTCATGGCAAGAAGATGGCACAGTGGAACATATGACCAAGGGATGCACTGGCTTTGCCACCTGGAGGTCATTGGTCTTATATGGCATTATGAGACCAGCATCACTCCTTCACCAGGACCAAAGACCCAGCAGGAGGGAGATGTCATTGTCTGAGATAGTTACAGAACCAATAGTCTGTACTCCCCGATAGCTAGAATAGTTGGAACCTGAGATCCAAACCTCAAAAAATGTATTGGTCTTTCTCATTGTGAATTTCAATGACCCAGTGTCAGAATTTATGTTTCCAATTTCTCTGCTAGATTAAAAGTTCTGGAAACAAACAAATCATGCTGCCCTACAAAGCACCTGAACTGGATAGGTTAGAGGTCTCAGTTTTTTAAAGCACAGTTTTTCCCTGTGAGCATCCCATCTGGACAAGTTAGACAACCCTGCTGCAGATTCTGCTGACCTCTCCTCACCCTAGCTGGTCAAGTCCGAGTTCTCTATTCTTCCTCTGCACAGTTGTTTTTTTTTTCTTTTTTTTGCCCTCCTCTTACCCCAGGCAAACAGGTTAAAAGACCATGGAGTTTCCACCCCCTATACACACTTCTGTCACTCTGAGCTTGCCCTGACTGGAGAGATCAGAGTTTACCAACCCTCTTGTCTTCTGTGCATTTCTGCCTCTCAACATACTCACCCTGGACATGCATGTTAGAGATTTCAGGACCTCCGGCCCCAACCAGTTTCTTCCACCCTGTGCTTACCCCATCTGGGGAAGCAGGAAGAAAGACATTTCCTCTCCTTCCACTGTACACCACTGCCGCTGTGCACATGCCCAATGAGCAAGTGAGGAAACAAAACCTGCCCACAACTGTTTCACATGCGCCACACTCTTTGAGCTCCCTGGTTCATAAAGTTAGGGGAAGCATGATCTCCAGTCCCTACACATGTTCCTACAATGCCTTGTGAACTGCACACTTTGAGGTTTGGGGATGCACCCCCACGGTTGATTTTACCTCGGTGATTCAATTTATCAATAAAGACTCAGAAGTCAGATGTTGGGGTTTTATGTGTGATTTAAGTTTTAATAATATTTCTTTTACATATGTGGGTGCTCTTGTATTAGGGGCATAGATATTCAGGATTGAGACTTCATCTTGATGAATTGTTCCTGCTATGAGTATCAAGTGTCCTCCATCCCTTCTGATTGATTTTAATTTGAAATCAATTTTGTTAGATATTAGGATAGCCACACCTGCTTGTTTCTTAGGTTCATTTGACTGGATAAGCTTTTCCCAACCCTTTACTCTGATGTAGTAGTGTCTGTCTTTGAGGTTGAGCTGTTTCTTGTAAACAGCAGAATGCTGGATCCTGTTTGCGTATCCATTCTCTTAGCTTGTGTCTTTTTATAGGTGAATTGAATCCATTGATATTAAGCAATATTAATGACCAGCGGTTGTTAACTCTGGTTATTTTTTGGTAGCAGTGTTTGTGTGTTTCCCTTCTTTGGGTTATGCTGGTAGGGCGTTATCAGATGTCTGTTATTGTGAGTGTAGTTAGGTTTTCCTTCTAGTATTTTCTGTAAGACTGGTTTTGTGGATATGTATTGTTTAAATCTGTTTTGGTCAGTGAATATCTTGTTTTCTCCATCAATGGTGAATGAAAGATTGGCTGGGTATAGTAGTCTGGTCTTGCTTCCATGGTCTCTTAGTGTTTGCAGCACATCTATCCAGGACCACCTGGCTTTCATGGTTTTCACTGTTGAAGTCAGGTGTAATTCTGATAGGTTTACATTTATATATTTCTTGACCTTTTTCCTTTGCAGCTCTCAATATTCTTTCTTTATTCTGTATGTTTTATGTTTTGATTATTATATGGCAAGGAGATTTTTTTTTGATCCAGTCTATTTGGTGTTCTGTAAGCTTCTTGTACCTTCATAGGGATGTCCTTCTTTAGGGTGGGAAAGTTTTCCTCTATAATTTTGTTGAATATATTTTCTGTGTTTTTCCGCTGGAGTTCTTCTCCTTCTTCTACCCCTACTATTCTTAGGTTTGGTCTTTACATGTTGTCCCAGATTTCCTGAATATTTTGTGTTAAGAATCTGTTGGATTTAATGTTTTCTTTGACCAATGAGTCTCTTTCCTCTATAGGCCAAAGGGAATTCCACAGCCTTGCTCTATCTACATGCGAGGTATTTAATTGAGTTTATATTTTATTATCTTCTTAGTTTATCATGCTACTTATAATTATGAAATACAGTTTCATAATTAAAAATTAAGTTACCAAAGCATAAGTCATAAAAATTTAATCACACTCTTAATTCTTTTAATTCTTCTGTCCTATGGCATCTGATGGCACTCGGAGCTTAATATTCCTCCAGCAATAGCACATGCATAAGAAATACACACACACCAGTGTTTTTCCTTTTTAAAATCTCAAGACAGCAGTGTATAATACAAAAACCTTCTGCATCTAATATTATCTAATGTTACATCTTTTAGATTGTTTTGAGATTAAAGATAAAAACTCTATATTCTGTAGTATGAAATAAGTTAAAATTTTGGTCTATTTATATACTTTTATATACTGTTTAGAGTTGTTCTTACATTTATATTTTCATGTATATTTACATTAGGTGTAGTTTTTGTCTAATTGGTCATTATACTTTTTAGTTGTGGCATTCTGATTTATCAGCTGTTCCTTTGAAACCGGTTGGTGGTGGAGAAAGAACCAAAGGATAAATGTGTTCAGCTAATCTGTGAGTGCAATAAAGAGCAATATCATGTTCTTCTAGGGCCTGAGAAAGATAAGGAAGAATCGTGGAAACAAAGGAGTGCACAGGTATTGTCCTCAAGTAATTAATTAGACATCACACACAAAATAGATTTATGTGGTTCTGAAGGCAGAGCTATAACTAAATTGAGATATGAAATTGTTCTTCTGGGTGTACAGGAGCTTTCCAAAGTCAAATGAGCTGTCTTGTGAGGATCACTGTCAAGTGTCCAGTGAGCATTCTCTAGGATGCTATTGTACATGGGACCCAGAACTGTGGATACCAATTGGAGATCCCCCCAGGGATGCTGACTCTAAGACGCTCTTTGCCACACCAACTCCAGTTTCGTCTGTGTGACATGACATATGTCATTATGCTACACGGGAGATATGTGTCCTATGAGACTAGGCTTCCTGGAGGTCAATGGCAGACAGTCTGGTATTAGCCACCTCTGAGCATAGAAGGGTTTCTCGATTAGCCGGCTATGCGGGCATATGGGCTTTGCACAAACTCTTTTAATAATGATATTCTTTATATCTACAAGACAAAGATTATCTCTTCAGAAACAGCTCTGGGATAGAGAAGCACAATATGGAAATATGTAAGACTACAGCAGAACCCTTGTCATACACAGGGTATATGATGAGCAAGGGAATAGATGGGTTAATGTTGATGGACAAAGACTGTTATATTATACTTTGAACTTTATAGATAGGCTTGCTAGACCCCAACCTCCATGGTGTCTGCTGTATAAGAAGGTACTAAAAAGCATATTTCAACAGGTGCAGAGAACTGATTAGGCATATTTGGTCACTAGATGAAATGAGAAAAGGGTTAGAAAGAGGAAGGGCTATGATAGCAATAATGGGACAAAAACTTTCTTTTCATAAGATGAAACCACTTGTCTGAGGTTTACGTTCCCAAGGACAAGATTTCCTCTTCTAAGGATGCTTTATGTCTAACACCTGTCCCTGATAATATGCTTTTCTTAAATATCGCTGATGTGACTAAAAGAAGCTTTCATACTGTGCCAGCTAATGATACATGACCTTTTGATTTGTTCTTTGTTTGAATACTATCTAATGAAAACATGAATTCAGAAAATCACAGCAGATTCCAACCACTCTATTGTGTGTTGTGTCTGTTTGTCGTCGCCGACCTCGTACCTTCCTGTGTACCATGACCCTGCTTCTCTCACGGTCTGAGTGGCTCCACTGAGCTGGTCCGTGGCAGCTCTTGTCCACTCAGGGATCTTATAAGGCCATGCCAAGCCTTGGGGATCCTGATAGCCGCAAGTCCCCTTGATACTCCATTCCCTATGGAAAAAGAATGCTTTTACAAGCCCACAGCAGCCTGTGACTGTGGCCAAGTGAGTGGTTATACATAGGTGTTTTGTTATAATAACAGAAAGCAGGCTAATGTATTGTCCTACACAATTATTATATTCATCATTAGTAGCAGGATAGAAGTTTACAGTAGTATTTATTCTCTTGAGTTTTCATTTTTTGTGCTTCAGTTACAGTCTGCAATTTTTCTCCAAGTTCTGCAATCCTGCGAGTTTGGAATCTAGTCTCTTATACTTTATTATTGCTTCTTTCTCTTTTTGATTCAAGTACGTAAATACTTACCTCAAACAGCTTACACAAAAGTATCACACTCTTTTATTATGTGTACTGCATAAAGTCTGTGTGGCTCACCAAAAGCTGAGCAGACAGCCAAGCTTAGGCATGCCCTATGCTCACCCATCTCCCTTGCTCTTAGCACCTTCCCCTAGCCTGCCAGCGATGTTATGATTGTTGAGCCAGAGCAATTCATCACCCTGTGGCTCAAAACCCACAGTTTACATTAGGGGGATACACTTGGTGTTGTGCATTATGGGTCTGGAGGAATGTACAATGATGTGTGTCCACAGGAGAGTGTTATATGTTACAAGGAGAGGCAGCTTGTTTGTCCCGGCTGCCTGGTTAGGTTACACCCGAAATAACCACACTGTATTAATTTAAACACTGCTTGGCCATTAGCTCTAACTTCTTGTTGGCTAACTCTTACATACTAGTTTAACCCATTTCTATTAATCGGTGTATCACCATGTGGCTGTGGCTTACCGGAGATTCTAACCTGCATCCATCTCAGGCAGAAGATCCATGGCGTCTCTGATTTTGCTCTTCTTCCTTCCAGCATTCAGTTCTGTCTTCTCCGCCTACCCAAGTTCTACCCTATCATCTATGTCAAGGCAGTCTCTTTATTCATTAACTAACGAAAGCAACACAAACAGATGGACATGTTATACAGAATAACTCCCTTACCCTATGTGGCCTCTGTCGTTCTCTCCTCTAGCCCTCTGCCTGTGAGCTCTGGGCAGTAACTGAACTTTTAACTCTCTATTCCATTTCACATTTTCCTAGATGATCATGCCTTTAGAATCATGAAGTCTGTATCCTCATTTTTTTTCTTTCTTAGAAATACTCACTTAAACTTCCCAGTACTTTGTGATTTGTTCTGCGATTAAGCATAAAGTCTCACACAGGTTTACAAACTCTACCACTGAACCATCTCTCAGCCCTCACTCTTATTTTTGCTTTGAGATGGGGCTTCATTTAAGTTGCCCAGGCTGGTCTTGAACGAGTCTGCATGAGACTGGAACTAAACTTGTAGTTAGTTCTCCTGCCTCAACACCCTGAGAAGCTTGTGTCACAAGTCAGTACTGCCAGACCTTTGCCTGATTGTTTTTGCAGTTGCATAATGTTCTAGGGCATAGACATACCCTGGCTTGTCTACACACTCACTGAGGAGCACTGCTACTATTTTTAAGGAATGATTTCCCCTTATTTTATTTTAAGAGGTTGATTCAATGCCTGGGTAGAAACTAAACGTTAGGCAATCTACTTCCAGAAAGATTTTTAAATGTGCTTCATAGAGGTATTCAGTCAAAGACTCTTGAGCTTCCAAGTTTGGTACCTTGATCAACCTATGGAAACATTTAGATCCTAAAATAAATATAGCTTTTATAATCTCAAAAGCCCAGTTTCTAAAGCTTTCTGCATTAACCAAGTTCTCATGAGGAATAAGTAGTAAATATTTTCTTATGGATTTTAGTTTTCTCTCATGTCTCACTCAAATATTAGATATTTTAAATACACATTTTGCTACTGCTTCTTCTTTGCAGCAGTTTCCTCCTAGGCTCAAACCTTCCATCTGGGATGGAAACTTTTAAGACGGAAAATGTAATGAGAAAGTGAAATAGCAGGGTATTTTAGGATAGGTTGTTCACTGGGAGGTGAAACACTCCATCCTATGGGACAGGCGTTTTTTTAAGACAGGAAGTAAATGTAAACAACTCAAGATAACTTCAGGAAGTCCCTGAAACCAACCAGACTCACTAGGACCATTTTTCCTCGGGAGTATATAAACAATAAAAACTGTTGTGTGACACTCTACTATGAGCCAAGCAGCTTAAAAGAAGCAGAGACCAGGCAACCTGCCCAGAAGAAACAGAGGCCAGCTGAGCTGCCTGGAAGGGGCCGGATCAGCTGAGTCTACTGGAAAGGACACTCTCCAGCCTGTTGAGTTGGGTATTTTCCAATTTGTTGAGCTGTGCACAGGCTGTGTACTGTGCTCCAGGTTTACAGCTTTTGTGATCTGTTGCCCATGCTTGATGTGGGCTTTGGTGATGCGCTTGTCTTTAAGCCATTTCTGCTTCCCTGAGTTACCCCTCGTCTTTATTACTGTAAAGTAACCGTAATACAACTCAGTGACGCATCAAATTGGACTTTAGTGGTATCTGTACTTTTGTCTATTTTGTCTATAGACTCTGTGTATGTCTCTGTGTGTGTGTTGTATTGTGCTCTGTCTCCCCAAGAAAAGTCACACAGAGTCTTAGAGCAGTGGTTCTCAACCTTCCTAATGCAGCATTTTAATGCAGTCCCTCGTGTTGTGGTGACCACCATCCAAAAAGCTATTTTCACAACTGTCATTTTGCAAGTGTTTTAAATGGTGATGTAAATATCTGATCTGCAGGGTATCAAGTATGTGATTCCCATGAAAGGGTCATTTAGTCCCCAAAGGGGTTGCAACTCACAGGTTGAGAACCACTGGTCTTAGAGTGTAAAAGGACATCCAGCCAGTCTGTCTCTGGAGCGGAATTTTTTTTCTTATATTGCAGGCAGGTTAGTTATAGCTTACTTAGTTTTAAACCTTTTAAATGACAGGAAGATTGCTCTGGGAAGTGAGCTGGTTTCTTTTTCAGATGACCCTAGTCATTAAAAATCTCTGTCTTTTATTCAGCTAAGCCCCATTTTCTCATAATTTTTACTCATCCATTCTAATTCAGTCCCATGAATTATAAAGTATAAACTTAATCTTTTCCCTTACAGTAGTCCCTTAAATATTTTAGAGAGAACTGTAATGTCACTTCACGCATTAGATTTATTAGCTACCTCATCATCGTACACATCTTCCTCTGAGTGGTTTTTCTTCTTAGCTCCTTAAAAACATTCTGTGAATGCATACATGCCCTGTGCTCTTCCCCGCTCATTCCCATATTCACTCACAAACTTTGTGTGTGTGCCAACTCTCTATCAGACATTGAGGAATGGGGGTGTGATTGTAAACCAGCCACAGTGGGTCCAAATGAAATATTCTAGGGAAGTGAACAAGGTCAGTGTGGTGGGGGAAAGACACCTCAGGAACAGTCAGCCAGAGAATCTTCTCCAGACAGACATGTGCGTGTGTGGAGGCACTTGGAGACAGGTTAGTGACTTTAGTAAGTAAAAGAAGGTCCTAATGACTAAAAAGCAGCAAGAAAGAGCATGCGTGGTTTAAAATGTCTTCAAACCTTTCACGTAAAACCTGGCTGAGAAGTAGTGATTCCCTTAAGTGAATAGAATGTGGTAGAAGTGAGGCTCTGTGACTTGTGAGGTTAGGTCCTAAAGGAAACAGCTCAGCCTTACTTCTCTTACCCTTGGAAGGCTTCTCAGAGCAGTCTCCTGTCATGGTGTGAGGCCTGTCAGCAGCTAAGGTCAGAAACTGAGGCCTTTGCCAATAGCAGATGCCAAACTGTAAATTAGGAAAGATACTAATTTTTGTCTAAGTCCCTGAGCTTGAGGTAATTTGTTATGCAAATAAATGAAGGTGATATTGAAGAGACACTAACCCACACAAGCATGTGGGTCTTGTAGGCCTTGCCCTTCTTTCCTATTCCCTCTGCCTTGCTAAAAGTCTATTAGATTACATTCCTAAAGCTAGCTACCAAGGCCTGTACCCTTATTTGGTCACTTGTTCCTCCTAAGGCTGACTACCAAGGGGCTGCTATCAACCTATTGAAATCCAGCAATCAGAAGCTCCCTTTAGTTCACATAATTAACATGCTCAATTAAAAATAAACCCCTCATCCTAACATGGGATTTTCCATTTTACTTTTATAAACTGCCATTTTCCTATGTGCCATGTCTGTCTCCTTTCTATCTAAAGGCAGTCCTTTGTCCCCCTGGGACAAATATCCCTGCCCCTTTCCCTTTTCCCTTCTCCTTTCTTCCTTTTCCTTTTCCATTTTCCCTTCCCCTTCTCCCTTATCCTCTATCTCCTTTACCAACACATCTTATCCCATTCTAACACAGACTTCCCCTTTTTCTCTTCTGAAAAATTACACCTTCAAGGTCATTTGCTGTTGCTTTCTCTCCCAAGTCAGAAAGCAGTCACTTTAGCTTTTCTTTCCCACTCAATAAAGGATCTCTCTGTGAAACAGGTGTTTGGGGTTGGTTTGCGCCTAATTTGGGGTGTGAGAGGGAGCACCTGCTGTGTGTGGGGTCTCCTTCAGAGGTGATGTGCTAGTCAGAGACATTTAACTCCAAGAATGTGGGAATGAATGTGGAATAATCGTTTTGTACACTGTGAAGCTGTGTCTCTGCTAAGGCACCTTCTGCTTGGTTTAGTAAAGTGCTGAATGGCCAATAGGTAGGCAGGAGAGGATAGGCGAGACTTCTGGGCAGAGAGAGGAACTGGGGGAAAAAGAATCTGGTGCAAGAGATTTGCCAGCCAAACATGAAGGAAGTGGGATGCACAGTATTGAACAGAGGTGAACAGCTCCTTGGCACTAAGTGGAAATGTCTGCTGCAGCACTGGTTCAACAACTTCCCAGAGCTGGGCAGATACGTGCAGCCCCTGGCCAGTGCCTGTGGGCATGAGGCTTGGCTGTCATGGAAAGGCAACCAGTGTGACTGCAACCCAGAACCTGTGGGGCAGCCTACTGGACCAACCCTGGGAGCAGAGCCAGCCACAGGTGCCATGCATTACAGGGAGCCATGCAGCAAATAGCCTTGCCCTTTAAGACTTGGTTCACTCAGTCAGAAAAATCTTTCAGGCATGCAAAAAGTCAGACTGAGAAAACCTCTGAACAGGTACAGTATGCTCGAAAATGTGCTTAGATCCTAAAGAAATGAAAGAAAATCAGTATAGACAGTCATAGAATAAAGAGTAGTTTAAAAATAATAAAAGTCTTTAAGGAGAAAGTAAAAAAGTATAAAAAGAATAAGCCACATAGGGATGGGAAATACCATAGTACAGGAAGTCTGGGTCCTATATACTGCTTTATTAACTTTAAAAATTTTAAACACTAATAACAAAAGAGCAACAGCTGCTGGGAAACATTGGATTGTGGAAAAACTACTAATCTAACCAGCCTAGATATTTTAAGGATATCTTAAATTCAGAATGAAAGTTAGGAAATGTATTGCATTTGGGAAGATGTTATGCCTTTGTTTCCAAAGGAAACAGAAAGCTAGGGATTCCTTCAAAATAGCCAAAGATCAAATTTGACTAGGGAAGACCTCCTCAAAATCCTGGTTGCAGACACGAAGGAAGAAGCAAAGAAGAACTACAATAGGTGGTGCGTGCGCTGATCCCTCGCCATGGGGACAGTTCTGAGGTCGGAGGAGACGTGATAAAGTTTGCTTGCTACGGAGTCTTCATGGCTTTTTATTACATGCTACCTTTTTATATGGTTTGGATGGAGATTTATTTTACAGTTTTGTTATGCAGTCCAAATGGACTTATAAAGTTAACAGATACCTTTTATTTATTAAAACATAGAGCATAAAATCATCTTTAGCTGATTTATGCATACCATACTTTCCATAATTTTGTTAATTCAGACATGTGTGTAACCATTAAAAGTTTATGTTTTTAGAACAAAAGGACCAGACAGTAATGAAGACAAGACAAGTAGCCCAAGTGGCCTCTCGGAATGCCTCTGCTTCAGTTTCCTCAAAAATTGCATCCAGAACAACTTCAAAGCTGCTAAATGAGATATTCCAGCCTCACAGACTCTTCCATCTAGGGCTTCAGGTAAGTCATGTACCTTCCTATCACTCAGAGACTGGGCAAAAAATGACACAGCTCTCCCAGAACTTGACCGTTATCTCAATTTTGTCAGGGACCCCTAACAATTCTGTCACTCCCAGACAACAAGAAGTAATTTTAAGAGCAAGAAGCTCACATTTCCAAGAGGTGGGGTGAGTGGTTTTTTGTTCATTTGGTGGGTTATGGATGTTGGTCATTGATTAGGGGGGTGAGTTGCATGTTATTATTCAAGGTCAGGGAGGACACTAAACACAGGAGGTTAGACTAAGGGGTTTTTTCTCTCTTTTTCTTTCCTTCTTTCTCTCCTATCTAGTGAAAAAGGGGGGATAAGTAATGATAGGATTAAATGATAAATTATTGAATCCATTTTTAAACTAAAAAGCAACCATAGTCTCAAATATTTTACATTGGTATGGAATTTTATATATTGATATAAATTTAAGGTTATTTTTGTTATTCTATATATATGTATATACTGCTATATATTATATATATATATAACGTTCTCTATCTATCTATCTATCTATCTATCTATCTATCTATCTATCTATCTATCTATCTATCTGTTTCTACCCTGACTTAAGGTATTATACCAATGCAGCTCATTTAAAAATGTAATGTAACGCTCTAGTCCTTGAAAACTATCAAAATGATTAGGATATTTATGAAATGCGGATTAGTAGTTAGTCATCTATAACAATGAAACTTGTAGTTATGTTAGGTATGTTTTTAAGGTCAAACAGAGATGTTTTAGACAGATAATTTAAGCTGTTTGTCTAAGAAAATGTTTTAAGTTCTAAAAAGATATTTTTATTTTGGTAATACAAGTTATGATAAAAAGTGATTTAGCCACTAAACTTTGAACTCATCAAGGTAGAGTAGATAATAGAATACTTCCTCAAAGGTGTCAAAAACAGATGGGCTAGATACTGTAAATGTAATTCTTATCTGATAATTGTTCTTATTGTATAAGTTTTACTGTGTTAGAGTTAAAACCCTTTCCTTTTTATTTAGACAAAAGGGGAAACGTTGCATAATCTTTTTTTAACAATGTGAATCTGTGTCTCTGCTAAGGCATCTTCTGATTGACTTAATAAGGAGCTGAATGGCCAGAATAGCTAGGCAGGTGAGGATTGTCAGGACTTCTGGGGAGAGAGAGAAACTGGGGTGGTGGGGGAAGAATCTGAGAGATGCCCCAGTCAGACATAGAGGAAGTGGATGCATGGTACTGAGCAGAGGTAATGAGCCATGTGGCAGAACATAGATTAATATAGATGGATTAATTTACATTTTAAGAGCTAGTTGGGAACAAGTTAAAGCTAAGGCCAAACTTTCATGCTTCATAATAAGTCTCCATGTTATTATTTAGGAGCTGGAGGTCCAAAGAAAGTTTGACTAAAAACATTTTACAAATATCTAAAGCCAGTGTGGCTCTTGTTATAGCGTATAATAACTGACCCAGTCTGTTAAGTGCTTTCTACGTAAACACAGGCTCCAAAGTCTGACACCAGAACTCATAAAAATATAGGCATGGCTGTGGGGAAATGGTGGTGTGCCTTTAATCTCAGCACTGGGAAGGCAAAGGCAGGCAGATCTCTGTGAGTTTGAAGTCAGCCTGGTCTATAAAGAGAGTCCCAGCACAGCCAAGCAGTCAAGGCTGTTACAGAGAGAAACCCTGTTTTATCAAACCAAAAAACCATTACACACACACACACACATACACACACACACGTCTCTCTCTCTCTCTGTATATATATATATATATATATATATATACACACACACACACACATAATATACTAGCATGGTATATACTTACAGTACCAGTACTGGAAGCAGAGACAGGTGAATTTCCTAGGCCAGACAGCCTCACCTAATATGTCAAGACTTAGGTTAGTAAAAGACTTTGTCTCAAAAAGCAAAGTGGATGACACTGAAGAAGGAAGGACACATATACACACACACGGACACACACACACGATGCAGAGGTAGGACGACTTTGGAGTTGGTCAAGCCTATGCCGTCACTCACTACAACATATATCCAGTGATACACCATTGTTGTGCTTGGAATGTGATGGTTAGTTGTGAAATTCGACCCAATTTAAGTCACCTGGGAAGGGAGTCTCAATGAAGAATTGTCTTAACTAGGTTGGCCTCCAGGAACGTCTGTGAGGGACTATACGTGTTACGTTATTTATTTGGGAGGATGTGCCCACTGTGGGCAGCCCCATTCCCGGGGCTTGGAGTCTTAGACTGAATAAACAGTAGAAAGAGAACTGAACACTGCCATGCTCTCATTGCTCTAATTTGTTTCTGATGTGGATGTGATGTGACCAGATTGCTCAAGCTCCTGCTTCTGTGACATCCCTGCTACAAGGGGCTGTCACCAGGAGTTGTGAGTTAAATAAACCCTTGGTAATTAGAAGTGGCTTTTGTCATGGTATTTTATGGTTTTAGAAGGAAATGGAAACATCACAGCATCCTTACCAAGGTTTCCTACAGGCCCATACAACTGTCATAAGTTTTGATGCTCCTCAGCATAGAAGGAGAATTTTCTCCTGTGTGTCTTTTCACAGGTAAAGGAAAGTCTCCTCAGTCAGAATACTGTAGCTCCATGAAATGTCTTTGCTCTAAGCAGTTGCTGGCAGGTGAGATGGCCAGAGCAGGGGCTGGGGACAAAGGCCAATGGACTGGAGAGAGTGTGAGAAAGAGGAGCAGAATCGAGGAGTTGAATGAAGCAGTTGAATGGAAGGCCATGGACAGAAGTGGTTTGCTGCTTTGTTTTGGTGTGTGCATGTGTGTGTGTGCTTGCACATCTGCATATATAGAGAGGAGAAGACTAGGAGTCATGGAAGAGTCAAGAGTTCCATTTGTTGTGTGTGTGTGTATGTATGTATATATATATATGTGTGTGTATATGTGTATGTATGTATATGTGTGTGTGTGTGTGTGTGTGTGAGTCAAGAGTACCATTTGTGTGTCTTTCAATCTGAGAGACTTGTAAGTCTTCCAAATTGGCATATAATAGGGATCAGGCAGACATTCACAAATGGACTGACAATAGGCAAAACTGTGACCATGGGATGGTTTGTAGCTCAGTTTATAGAATACTTGCCTCTCATGTGTAGAGCTGAGGGCTCAATCCTGTACACACAGTGCATTGGTGCATGCCTGCATTCCATGACTCATAGGAGATCTTCAGCTACACAAAGAGCTTGAGGCCAGCCGGGTATACATGAAACCCTCTTGTTTTTGTTGTTGTTTTAGTATGCAGGATGAGCACAATATGTTTTTCAAATCTATGAAATTGATGACTTGACCATGAGAGTGGATGACAGCAACAGAGGGAAGCCTTCAGCAGGAGCTCGAGAACTCTAGTAACTGACGGCTGGGAAGAGGACGAGAAAGAATGGGAAGGAAAACCAGGAGAGGAGGAGCATAGGAGGAAGCAGGTAGCTAGGGAATGATTGTCCAGGAAGCGTGGCTGGATAATTGTGTATTGTTTGCCAAAAGTTAACAAACTAAGACATAAAAATGACCTTTGGATTTAACACAGCAGTCCCTGGGTGCTGGCATGAAACAAGCTGTCCCTCATGGAGGGAGGGGAGAAGTGGTGGCCACTAGTGAGAACAACTCAAAAGAGTCTACCTGAGGGGAGAGCTGGACTGAAGGGAGAGGGAGCATCCTGGAGAGGATGGTTAAGTTAAGGGAGTGCAGAGAGAATGTGCAGAGTGCTCCCACATGGAGATTGTGTGGATTAGTGGCAATGTTCCCATGCAGAAAAGATTGACTGATCATGCAGAGGAGCAAGGGACAGCTGAAAGAATTTAAATCCCCAAGGAAAGTGCACAAGCATCTTTTCATGCAGTTTTGAGGTTGAGTGAGTTTTAGTGTAGAGATGAAGTCATTGAGAGTTATTAAAGTTGATGGGTCTGTTCTTTAATGTCTATGTATGTTCACGTATACATGTTCATGTGTGTGAGTGCAGGTGCATGCATGTCACAGCACTCCTGTTGCAGTCTCAGGTGCCAGTCCTTCTCCCTCCCCTCCTCTGAGACAGGGTTCACCATGGGTGTACAATAAGCTCACTTGTCTGGGAGCTTCCAGGAAGTCTCCTACCTTGGCCTCACATCTTCTTCGCAATACCACATTCACCTCCAGCTTTTGTTTGTTTTGTTTTTAAGACAATTTGAAATTTAAATATATTTTGATGATAATCTTCCTCTCCCTCAAGTCCTTCCAGATGCCCCCATCCTTACCCATCCAACTTTAAATTCTTTATCCAAAACCACAAAAGCCCAATACAACAACAAGCATCCAAACCAAGAAAACAAAATAAAGCCACACCCCAAAAGAAGAAAAAAGAATAAAGTCAAACTGTAACCAAATAAACACACACACACACACACCAAACAAACAAACAAACAAACAAACAATCAAAATCTGTGGGTCTCATTATATGTTGGTCAACTACTCTTGAACAAGAGGCCTGTCCTAGAGTGGTTTATGTACCCACTGTCACTCTTTTGGAGGAAATTGATTTTCCTTCTCTCAGCAGGTATAAGTGATGGCTCAGTTGTTAACCTTTTATCCTAGTGACTAGATTTTCATTCATTCATTCATTCATTAATTTAAAAATACGCCAAAATAAAATATAATAAAAAACTACCACATCAAAGTTGGACAATACAAACAGAAGGAAAAGAACCCAAGTAGTTATAAGAATCAAAGACCCACTAGTTCACTCACTCAGGAATCCCATAAAGACACTAACCTGGAAGCCAAAATATATCCACAGAGGACTTGGCACAGACCTGTGATTAATGCTTTAGTCTCTGTGAGTTCAGATGAGATTTGCTCATGTTGATTCAGAGGATCTTGTTTTCTTGGTGTCCTCCATCCCCCCTGCTCTTAAACTCTTTCTGCCTCCTTGTTTATGGGGTTCCCTGATTTCTGAGGGGAGGGATTTGATGGATACATATCTTTAAGGTTGAGTGCTCCAAGGTCTCTCACTTCCTGTGAAGTGTCTGGCTGTGGGTGGATATAGAATAAGAGGCTAGAGGGAATGAATTGATCTCATTAGGAAAGGTAAATAGCACAGATATGGATGGATGGGGCAGCTGGAATAGGAAGATCTAATGGGAGAGAAAGAGGGGAGGAGGGTTATGGGAAGGAATGCAGTGAAAGACAGCTAAAATGGGGGACATTTGAGGGGTGGTATGGAAGCTTAATGCAGTAGAAACTTCCTAAAATATATAAATACATGAAGAGAATCTAAATGAAATCACCACATAAATGGGGGAGGCAGAGTTCCAAATGGACTTGTCACCAAACAAAGCTTCCAGTGCTGGAGTTTGGTTGCATCTAGTTGACCAAATGGATCCTGTGGAAATTCTTAAATGCCAAGACTATATGTTGTTCTTCACAAACTGACAGCAAGGCTCCATCATTGAATACAACACCTATACAATTCATAGAAGAGTGAATGTCAAGCCAGTGCCTACATAGAGCCTTTAACCTACATTCTTGGGTCTTTAGTATAGGAAGGCATTCTGTACTCTATTAAGAGAGAAACATAAAGACCACGCCAGCTATAATCTCTTGCTTTGATTCTGCAAGATACACTAGGGCAACAGTGGCACAAAGCTTGTGGGAATAACCAATAGCTCATTTGACTTAAGTCCCATTCCATGAGATGGAACCATACCTGACACTGCTTGAGTAACTAAGAACCCGAGACTAGATGGATAACCCATAGGACCGAGGATAAAACCAAATAATAATGTTCTAAAAGAATGAAGACGAAAGATGTATTGATAAAATGATTCCTAACAGTATTCTGCTATTCTCATAGATCAACGCCTTGCTCAGCCATCATCAGAGAAGCTTCCTCCTGCAGCAGATGGGAACAAATACAGAGATCCATTCCAGCTTTACTGGGCCCCTCAAGTTCCTGCAGTTAGCCTTCTACCCAACGAGCATCTCCCAAGTCCTGTACTAATTTAATTAGCTATTGCTTGATAGTTAATTGGAAACTTTGTCAAGCGGCTAAGGACCCACACTCCCACAGACATATTTTGGGAGAGTTTCAGATCAGCTGTGTGGCTTGAGGAATTTGCTTAACCTCTCCGTGCTACAGCTCCCCTAATTAATAGGTAGTACCTACTTAATAGGATCTTCATCTAAGGCATTTGACTTCATCTGTGTGACTTGGTTACAGCAGTGAGGCTGGTATGTGGTTGATGCTTTGTATACCAAGCACCTATTTGTTAGTAATTGCTGGGTTTGATTTTCTTAAATAACTTAGGCTA